CACCTCTCCTTCAATACTACTCTCACCAACACCTCTCCTTCTATGCTACTCTCACCAACACCTCTCCTTTCATGCTAATCTCACAAGCACCTCTCCTTCCATGCTTCTCTAACGAACACCACTTCTTAGGTGCTACTCTCACCAGCACCTCTCCTTCCATGTTGCTCTCACCAACACCTCTCTTAAGGTGTTACTCTCACCAACACCTCTCCTTGGGTGCTACTCGCACCAACACCTCTCCTTCCATGTTACTCTCACCAACCACCTCTCCTTCCATGTTACTCTCACCAACACCTCTCCTTCCATGTTACTCTCACCATCACCTCTCCTTAGGTGTTACTCTCACCAACACCTCTCCTAAGGTGTTACTCTCACCAACACCTCTCCTTAGGTGTTACTCTCACCAACACCTCTCCTAAGGTGTTACTCTCACCAACACCTCTCCTTCCATGCTACTCTCACCAACACCTCTCCTTAGGTGCTACTCTCACCAACACCTCTCCTTAGGTGCTACTCTCACCAACACCTCTCTTTAGGTGCTACTCTCACCAACACCTCTCCTTAGGTGCTACTCTCACCAACACCTCTCCTTAGGTGCTACTCTCACATACACCTCTCCTTCCATGCTACTCTCACCAGCACCTCTCCTTAGGTGCTACTCTCACCAACACCTCTCCTTCCATGCTACTCTCACCAGCACCTCTCCTTAGGTGCTACTCTCACCAACACCTCTCCTTCCATGTTACTCTCACCAACACTTCTCCTTCCATGCTACTCTCACCAGCACCTCTCCTGCCATGCTACTCACACCAGCACCTCTCCTTAGGTGCTACTCTCACCAACACCTCTCCTTCCATGTTACTCTCACCAACACCTCTCCTTCCATGTTACTCTCACCAGCACCTCTCCTTACATGCTACTCTAACCAACACCTCCTCTTAGGTGCTACTCTCACGAGCACCTCTCCTTCCATGTTACTCTCACCAACACCTCTACTTCCATGTTTCTCTCACGAGCACCTCTACGTCCATGCTACTCTCACCAACACCTCTCCTTACGTGCTACTCTCACCAACACCTCTCCTTCCAGGTTACTCTCACCAACACCTCTCCTTCCATGCTACTCTCACCAACACCTCTCCTTCCATGCTACTCTCACCAACACCTCTCCTTCCATGTTACTCTCACCAACACCTCTCCTTCCATGTTACTCTCACCAACACCTCTCCTTAGGTGCTACTCTCACCAACACCTCTCCTTCCATGTTACTCTCACCAACACCTCTCCTTCCATGCTACTCTCACCAGCACCTCTCGTTCCATGCTACTCGCACCAACACCTCTCTTTCCATGTTACTCTCACCAACACCTCTCCTTAGGTGCTACTCTCACCAGCACCTCTCCTTCCATGCTACTCTCTCCAACACCTCGCCTTAGGTGTTACTCTCACCAACACCTCTCCTTAGGTGCTACTCTCACCAACACCTCTCCTTAGGTGCTACTCTCACCAACACCTCTCCTTCCATGCTACTCTCACCAGCACCTCTCCTTAGGTGCTACTCTTACCAACACCTTTCCTTCCATGTTACTCTCACCAACACCTCTCCTTCCATGCTACTCTCACCAACACCTCTCCTTAGGTGCTACTCTCACCAACACCTCTCCTTTCATGTTACTCTCACCAGCACCTCTCCTTCCATGTTACTCTCACCAGCACCTCTCCTTCCATGCTACTCTCACCAACACCTCTCCTTCCATGCTACTCTCACCAACACCTCTCCTTAGGTGCTACTCTCACCAGCACCTCTCCTTAAGTGCTACTCTCATCAACACCTCTCCTTCCATGTTACTCTCACCAACACCTCTCCTTAGGTGCTACTTTCATCAACACCTCTCCTTCCATGTTACTCTCACCAACACCTCTCTCTCCATGCTACTCTCACCAACACCTCTCCTTCCATGCTACTCTCACCAACACCTCTCCTTCCATGTTACACTCACCAACACCTCTCCTTCCATGCTACTCTCACCAACACCTCTCCTTCCATGTTACTCTCACCAACACCTCTCCTTCCATGCTACTCTCACCAACACCTCTCCTTAGGTGCTACTCTCACCAACACCTCTCCTTTCATGTTACTCTCACCAGCACCTCTCCTTCCATGTTACTCTCACCAGCACCTCTCCTTCCATGCTACTCTCACCAACACCTCTCCTTCTATATTACTCTCACCAACACCTCTCCTTAGGTGCTACTCTCACCAACACCTCTCCTTCCATGCTACTCTCACCAACACCTCTCCTTAGGTGCTACTCTCACCAACACCTCTTCTTAGGTGCTACTCTCACCAGCACCTCTCCTTAGGTGCTACTCTCACTAACACCTCTCCTTAGGTGCTACTCTCACAAACACCTCTCCTTAGGTGCTACTCTCACCAACACCTCTCCTTCCATGCTACTCTCACCAACATCTCTCCTTAAGTGTTACTCTCACCAACACCTCTCCTTAGGTGCTACTCTCACCAGCACCTCTCCTTCCATGCTACTCTCACCAACACCTCTCCTTCCATGCTACTCTCACCAGCACCTCTCCTTAAGTGCTACTCTCACCAACACCTCTCCTTAGGTGCTACTCTCACCAGCACCTCTCCTTCCATGCTACTCTCACCAACACCTCTCCTTAAGTGTTACTCTCACCAACACCTCTCCTTAGGTGCTACTCTCACCAGCACCTCTCCTTCCATGCTACTCTCACCAGCACCTCTCCTTAAGTGCTACTCTCACCAACACTTCTCCTTAGGTGTTTCTCTCACCAGCACCTCTCCTTCCATGTTACTCTCACCAACACCTCTCCTTAGGTGCTACTCTCAGCAGCACCTCTCCTTCCATGCTACTTTCACCAGCACCTCTCCTTAGGTGCTGCTCTCACCAACACTTCTCCTTAGGTGCTACTCTCAGCAGCACCTCTCCTTCAATGCTTCTCTCACCAGCACCTCTCCTTAGGTGCTACTCTCACCAACACCTCTCCTTAGGTGCTACTCTCACAAGCACCTCTCCTACCATGTTACTCTCACCAGCGCCTCTCCTTCCATGTTACTCTCACCAACACCTCTCCTTAGGTGCTACTCTCAGCAGCACCTCTCCTTCCATGCTACTTTCACCAGCACCTCTCCTTAGGTGCTACTCTCACCAAGACCTCTCCTTAGGTGCTACTCTCAGCAGCACCTCTCCTTTCATGCTACTCTCACCAGCACCTCTTCTTAGGTGCTACTCTCACCAACACCTCTCCTTAGATGCTACTCTCACCAGCACCTCTTCCTAGGTGCTACTCTCACCAGCACCTCTCCTTCCATGCTACTCTCACCAGCACCTCTCCTACCATATTACTCTCACCAACACCTCTCCTTCCATATTACTCTCACCAACACGTATGCAAAGTTTTTGAACCCTTACTTCAACCAGTCTTGGTCGTCCTATGTCAATTATCTCTGGGTCAATGCTCTCAAGGTCTTACCTTACCTATATTTTGTGAGAGGGGAGGAAGTGGGACTTGCAGATAGTGAATGCGTTTTTGTTTATGCTCTCTAATGTCACCTAAAGTAGATATTATTGCTGTTTCACATATTCACTGGGTTCTCCATCGACCCATGTCCAACCACTTCGGCTGGACAGCAGAGCGACGATCTCGCTACATGCAGGTCGGCGTTCAATCCCCGACCGTCCACAAGTGGTTGGGGACCATTCCTACCCCTCCGTCACCTCCCAAATCCTTATCTTGACCCTTTCCAAGTGCTATATAGTCGTAATGGCTTGGCGCTTGTCCCCTGATAGTTCCCTTCCCTTCCATCGAACCATCATAGTCTGGTGCGGTGTTTCGCACAGTTTGCTCTGGATTCTTTCATCCTTCTCCAATCCAGAGCATTCACTTAGAAGAAAATATTAAAGGTGCACAACGGCATGGAATCAGCATCCCTAAACTACTCAGGCAACCGGTGTTGCGTCGCTTTAAGATCCATGATCGGTATAGGCATATCTCATGAGAGTCTTTCTAGAATTATGAAATGGTCTTTCTTCTAACAGTTTATCTGCCATTCACTTGCTACTGTTTATTTTACGGAAGAGTCAAAGGCTGTTGAGAGTAAGCTGATTCTCGCAGGCCCTATGTGGCTCTGAAGTTCTTAACCACTCTGCTGCGCTGCCTTAAAATATGATATTCCCGCTGTTCGCTGAAAATAAATTCTTTGCCAAAAATTATTTGTCCTTCCAAAAGTGTTAAATAGCCTTCCCTGATCACATATATGTTGAAAATATTGCACAAATGTACTTACTTTGGCTGCAGTGGTGTCCAGAAAATGTTGGGTGCCGTCACAGCTGGTGGTCACCCGTGCTGTAGCCTCCTGTAGGCAGTCGTGCACCAGATTCAACAAGCGAGAGTTGCCGCAAATAATTTTATGTTAATTTTTTCCACACAATTACAAATGCATTTCTTTTGTTTTTTTCTGGCTAATCCTATGTATATTGAACAGGTTTACAATATTCAGGCAGCAGAACATCCGTACTGTTCAAAGAGACTGTGTTACATGTATCACAAATGTGTCCACAAACACTATATTTTCTATATTTCATATTCAATTATGTACATTTACAACTTATTTACACACTGTACACTATCACGGACCATATACATCATCTATTAACACACTTAGAACTGCGAGAGTGTGTGATAATCACTGAAGCAGTCAACGGGGCACAAGGCAACTTTGCACTCAACGCACCAGGTGCAGATGGATCTTCGCTTCTGTTCCCTACGTTGCGTGTTCTTGCAAACAATGCAGGCACGTTTACCCTTTTGCCGTGATCCTGTGCCTGGCATATAACCAAGCTTGTGTACAGACAGAATTTCTTTACCCCTGAGTCTGTCAGGAACTGCGTGAGGCATTGTTGCTGGCACCCCACGCGGTACAACACTGCCCTCCACCCCATACTTCACCAGTAGTTGTGACACTAGAGCAACACTGAATGTACGGATTGGTGGTCTCTTGCCAGATTTCACGAGATACGTGTTGAAACAGTTCAGCACTACAACGTCAACGAGGTGGAAAAACAATTTCTTGGTCCACTTCACAGATTTACTCACACACTCGACGGCACCAACCATCATGTCACATTTATCTACTAACTGCATATTTACACTGTAGTCAATGATACAATCAGGTTTATACGTTGCTAACCTTGTTGCAAAGTTGACTTTGCCACTGTCCAACATGGCACCGGTGTGAATAGTTGTCAACATGTTCACCTCCTGGCTGTCCTTCCAGCGCACTGATAACATTTGATCACACTTTCTCAGCTGGCATTCACCCACTGCAATACCAATGCCAAACACTGGCATTTCCCTTCTGTGGGCCTTGACAATGCCACATACACCGGTGTTGTGGTCAAGGAGGAATCTGGTCAGCAAGGGACTGGTATAGTAGTTGTCAGTGTACAGAATATGCCCCTTGTTCAGCAACGGTTCCACGAGTGTTTTCACGACACTGCCGGAGAACCCGTGTGGATCTTGACCTGGTATGTCAACATCTGTACCTGAATACAATATCATGTCCACGACAATACCAGTTTCGCAGTCACATAACACGAAGAACGTTAGTCCAAACTTGTGCCGCTTTGATGGAATGTACTGCTTTAATGCCAGGTGTCTATTGAAGAGAACTAGCGATTCATCAATCATGACATTCTGTGCTGGTACAAAATAGTCACGGAACTTTCCTCTCAAATCACTAAATATCTTCCGCACTTTCCACAGTCTGTCGTGTATGTCTTCATTATCATTGTTCTCAAAGTGCAGGCACCTGAGAAGCAGCAGGAACCTATCACGTGACATGTACCTGTTGAACAAGGGTGTTGGAACAAGGCTGTCTTTGTTCCAATAATCCTGGATCACGTGTTTATCTGCATGCCTCATCATCATGCACAACGCTAAAAACACATACATTTCCTCAATAGTCGTGTCTTTCCAACGTGTCATTCGAGAGGCAGGTAAAATTCCAGAGGCAATGAGTTGCAGAGCATATTGGTTCGTCTCTGCAACGAGATGGTCCATGAATGGCTGATCGAAATATGCCATAAAATAATCAATTTCAGCCATATCATCACCAGTATAGGGGAATAAGGGTGTCACACCAACATCGGTATCATCAAATGCTGGAATTTGTGGGACAAAATTGTCACAATCCTCCCACACAAGTACACCCGTATTTTTGATTTTGGTGTCAACACCACAGCCAATACCACCACGAGCATCACCAGCAAGGGCCCCAACAACACAGCTCCATCGTCTTGTGCTAGAGCTGCAAATGCCAGGAGACGAGGCTGTTCTGCGTAGTATAGGACTATCATGAACACCTGATGTCGAGGGCTCACTGTCATCTTTGTCCTCAGGATGCATGACACACTGGTGCTTGCCTCGGCAAGCTGCTGAAGCAGCAAAACCCCACCTAGTAACACCATAGACGCTTCCACTCGGTTCATCAACACTTCTTGTATCTGAACCTATGTCACTGAAACCAGAAAATGACTCATCACATCAAAAGTCATATCTCTACTATCACTCAGTGGGGTTCGGGAGGACACCCCCAACCCCACGGGCCACGTTCAACCGCGCCAGGTGAGCTGCTGTGCCCGGGGTCAAGTCCCTTGGAAGACTGAGGAGGAGACACTGAACCAGGCTGTAAGTTTGTCTACAGTTCCAGTATGAGAGGAAGAAGACGACGTGCACAGGGACCTGTCTCCAGTACCTCAGGAGGAGGTGGAGGACCTGCCTGTAGAGTGTGAGTACGGCGAGGACGCGCATCTACAAGTTGACTGAGGACCTTGTGTGTACAGGACCCTGATCAACAGAGGACCGAACGCCAGAACCGGGGACCTCAGCGACCCTCGCCAGAGGATATGTCGACTATGTAGTAGAAAGAGTTAAAGTACATAAATTCCCTCCCATTACCCCTTGGTCTAGGTGAGTTAGGATATCATTCATGTCGTGAGCAGTGTCTTTATTATTACTGCCAGTGTGGTAGCGTTAAGCTAGGTGCCAGGTTATTCATATATACATGAGTTAAAATATATTAATGTATGTGTGTGGGCGCTGTGACATTTTGGGCAGCTAGAGGAAGTGGCTGGATTCAAGAGGCCAGGATCGATGTTTTGAATCGTCCAGCTGAATGTGTTGCCAGAGGCAGGTGAGGAGTGTTGCCGCCATCTGACAGTTCCACGTATATTATTCTTTATGCGAATCAAGTGTAGTTTTATTCCGAAAACTCATCATCAATTTTTATACTGTGTTTGAGTGAGCCTTCGTCTCTAGGGCTATTTGAGTAGACCATTTATGTGGCACTGCATTGCAGCTGACATTGAATCCTTGGTTTGTGATAACAAATAAGACCACTGAGGAGTGTTGCTAGGACACGAGTATGAACACCCAGCTGTCGACCTTGACTTAAAGAGGTAAGGATTTACCTGTGTATTCTTCCAGTGTCACACCGGGCAAGTCCGACCTAGAGCAATAGAGGTGAGGTTGGATACCCCCACTCGCCAGGGATTCAATTCAAGGCCAGCCCTTGGTAGACTGGGGGGCCCCTAGGGTGAGCAGTGGCTCCCAAATACAAGGGGGGCAAAGACCCGCGGGATTAACCCTGACTACGTAAGGAAGGAAGGAATGGGTGTTAAAACGATGACAGTACTTCTCTGAGCTGTAATCTAAATCATCAGTAATCAGTCATTCATCAAACAAAATGTCTTCAATTTTATCCTCTGAGAGTCATTTTGCAACACAGCGGCTGACCGTAGACCGGGAGCTCGTAGATGATGCATCAGACATGGTTGCTACCTTAAACCTGGGGCTCCCCACCACCAGGAGACCTCAGACATCCATTTAATACCCGAGTAACCACGTGGAACTTTTTAATCCTACGCTATACCTATGAGCGCCCCGAGGCAATCTGCGCATCTCTGATCTAGTGCTTAAAACCGCTCGGTGCAGTGTGGAGGTTAACCCTTTCCATCATGTTTTGAACAAATCCTATACAGGCTATTCCACCTCTGTAGTAGGTATATATTTGAAGAATTGTGCTGGGTCCCCAAGTCATACTGGTATTGCCTATAAATAAACCACGGATGCCGCAACTAAAGAATCCATTCATATAGGTCCTATCTCCAAAAATGCTATTCCTTTCTTAGAGTTCTACTCAGTCATTCAAAATGCATTCCGCAACCACTAGAGAGACAGATTGTTGTGTATTGGAAAATAAAAACTAAATACCATTAACTGCGACCTCTGGCCTCCCCCTTCCTCCCCCTCTAGCACTGTAATGCAAGGTGACAACTCTGCCACAGGTATCATATTGGCCACACACGATTCACTCATGGGAACTAGACCAAAGTTCTGCACCTAACTACCAGAACTGCATTTTCCCATTTACAGTAGCGCTTCTCCTAATTTTCAGGATGATTAGAAATCATGTTTTCCCAATGTGTTATTAATCATATGTTCATTGATAAAATACTAGGTAAAGCTGGTGCCTTTGACATACATCAGTTTGTGTATTTGTTCTCTTATTGGCTTCCACAGAATAATATCTACATAATCCTTATTTTCTGTGCCACAAATGATGCTAAATTTTCTTTATTTTTATCTAAATTTTCTTTCTATAGTACAGAAGGACAGGGATGGTGAGTGGTGTCGTGTAGATGACTGTCACGTGGTAAAACATATGAGTAGCAGGTACTGTGGGTGATGGTCTCAGTGGTGAGTGCACTCCCTTCCTGTAAGGTGATAATTGCCACCTCACTACACATCTTTACTACCTGTTAAACTGTAACAAATAACTGAAATCTGAAATGCCTTGCCAGTCAAAATAGACACTCTACAACATGCACATTCAGTATCTAACTGGCAGAGTGAGACTGACAACGTTTACAGTAGTTAGCATGATATGAACGGTACATCCAGAACTACCAGAGAAATGAGTGCACTACCTTTAAACATCGAGTAGCGTAGAGGCGGTGCAACAACTGAGGAAACCAACATCATGAAGACTTTGTGGTAGTAAGAAGCACACTTCGGTGTAAGAAAGCTCGCGAGCTTAGACCCCAACATTATATATTACCAGGAGAATGATAAGCTGCCTAATATTAATACAAGATCAAGTTATGCATTACACGAATCAATGAATTATACAAATAGTTGTATGGTGGGAGGGTCCAACCTCCCATGTAACCCTCGTGAACAAAGCTGTTAGCAATAAGTCAAAACAACCCCCAGCGCCCCACACCCCTTCCCTCGAACACTGTAGCTGCTGAGGAAGGTAAGAAGGGACTGAAAACAATGAAATATTTTAAAATATATTCTGAGGAAACAATAACTAAAGGAAAATATAAAGGTAATAGGTGAAGTGATAAGGTCAGCAATTAATGCTCTGCTGCTCGAGAAAATGACCAATGTTATAAGAACCCCAAAACTGGAGTAACATTGCCCGATCTTGAAAATGTATTTAATTTTATATATTTTAACTGCATTTTTCTGCTGTTTCAAACACGAAATATACATGACAAACATAAAATAACAAATGAAACTAACAGTAATTATAACAGGCTGGTTGATGAATTTTCAGTCACTTAAGCTGATGTAATAGGTTGCCAGTAAATACCGAGAGAAGTTCATTATGCATCGACCAGCTGAACTTTACGGCCATTCACTGGCATGATGGCACAGTGAATGTGATCTACAAAAAATCCGTTGACGAGATTGGCGGTCTGGCCGCCAGGGGGCGTAGATTTGCTCGCCAAGCGCTCCCCAGTCTTTGCTAGGAGTTCCCTGTGGGAGGATGTTCTTGTTGCGTCAGTGCCATGGTGACCTCCCTCGTTTTGTACGTGGTTTCCGTTTTATATTTTCGTTTTTTCCATAGCGCATGAGCTGGAACTTCGTTAAACACCATATTATTTTCTGTAGCCCATAGAAAGACCTGATCTACATCTGACTGGAGATTCGCCGTGTCCTCTATGTTGCCTACTCTCATGAAGATCCTAGTGTCATCTGCAAAGGATGATACAGTGCTATAGGTTGTGTTCTTGTCTATGTCCGAAATGAGGATGAGAAAAAGTACTGGAGCAAGCACAGTACCCTGGGGACTGAGCTCTTCACGGTTGATGGGCTGGATTTTATTTTGTTGACTATTACACATTGGGTTCTGTTGGTCAGGAAATTGTAGATCCATCTGCCTATTTTTCCGGTAATTTCTTTTGAACGCATTTTATGTGCAATAACACCATGGTCACATTTATCAAAAGCTTTTGCGAAATCTGTGTAAATTACATCAGCGTTTTGTTTGTCTTCCATAGCATCTAATGCCATATGATAGTGGTCCAGCAACTGCGACAGGCAAGAGCGCCCTGTTCTGAAACCATGTTGTCTGGGGTTATGGAGTTGCTGTGATTCCATGTATTTTGTGATTTTACTTCTTAGCACTCTCTCAAAATTTTTTATGATGTGCGATGTTAGTGCTATCGGTCTGTAATTTTTTGCCTCTGCCTTATTTCCTCCTTTATGAAGTGGTGCTATCTCTGCTGTTTTTAGTATATCAGGATAACGCCAGTATCTAGGCTTTGTCTCCACAGAATGTGGAGGGCCTCGATAGTGTTTTTTACAGTTCTTTATGAATATGGAGTTCCAAGAATCCGGGCCTGATGCAGAGTGCATAGGCATACTGTTTATGGCTTCTTCAAAATCCAGTGGGGATAGGGTGATGTCTGATATATGATTTGATGTTGGTATCGTATCCATGAAAAATTCATTTGGTTATCAATCTTTAGTGTGTTTAATGGCTCGTTGAAAACAGAGTCGTACTGCGTCCTCAGTAGCTCGCTCATTTCTTGTTGTCATCGGTGAAAGTTCCACCTCCCTTTCGCAGGGGCCCGATACTAGATGTGGTTTTTTTTATCTTGATTTTGCATAGGAGAAAAAAATATTTCGGATTTCTTTCTATTTCACTGATGACCTTTTGCTCTCTTTGCCTCTCCTGGGTTTTGTATGATTCTTGTAGCTTACGTTCAATTGTTTCTATTTCTCTACCTAACCTTCTTCGCCGTTCTTGAGATAGGGTGCGACTCTCAAGTTGTTCTGCGATTCGTTTTCTTCGCCTATATAGGGAACGACGTTCCCGTTCCAATCTGCATCTATTCCTCTTTTTTCTTAGAGGTATGCGGTTTGAACATATTTCTAGTGCTACTGAGCTTATTTTTCCAGGCACTCGTTCAGGTTTGCATTTTCTAGCTGTTCTTCCCAGTTTATTTCTGTGAAGTCCTGGTTTATTTGCTCCCAGTTTATCTGTTTATTATTGAAGTTGAATTTGCTGAAGTCTCCTTCACCGGGAATCTGGACTGGTTTGAAGGTCTACTCCCCATGGTTGCCATAACTTCAATTAAGTTGTGATCTGAGTAACAGGTATTTGTAATCATTATGTTCTGATCAATTCATCATTATTAGTGAAAATGAGGTCCAGCGTGTTCT